CTTCCCTCCGGAAAAAGGTTTCGGGCCATCAGGACTAAAACCTCTCGCCATCTGAACAGTTTTTTCCCCGTGGCAGTGGGGCTCACAAACAAGCCCCCTGCATCACACTGACTCTGCACCGCACTGACTCTACCCCACCACACCCCACCCCCTGCACATAATTTATAATTTATTACTTATATACTACTGGCACTATCACCAATCTCTGCACCTTCGCACAGCACGTGCCTATAACCCTGTTACTCTGTTACTGTATATATGTATATACTCTATTTTATTCTATTTTATTTTATTAAATTTCTTATATATTGTTGTTTTTTTATATTGTTGTTTTATGTACATAAGTAGTGCACCAATGACACCAAGGCAATTTCCTGTATGTGCAAACATACCTGGCAAATAAAAGAATTCTGATTCTGATTCTCTGTGCAGGAATTCACACTGTAAGTTCTCCTTCTCTTCACACAAACAGATGTTTTGTACCTTTGAGCCGGGATCCTGGAGTTTTCCAGAAAAGTGGGCCTTCATGGACTAGTTTCCGACGAAGCAATTCTCCAGGCTTAAAAACTCCACCAAGCCTGACTCGGGCCTCAGCCCGAGGGTCCAGCTTGGCCTGGATCTCTTGCAGCCGTTGCATTTTCTCCATCTCCTCCATCTGCCAACAAGGATAAAAGTCTTTGTCCATTTTGAGTGCAAAAGAGATAATTCATAAACATGAATGAACCAAGATAATTTAATTAAGTTTGAGTAGAATATAGAAGAACACTTTATAAACAATTGGTTAAAGGTAACACTGAATGCAAATGTATCAAGGTGGAGGAGAATCTGCCACCTCTGAGAGATTTCATCAAATACTGTTTCTTTTTTAAAATTACTGCAAGGGTGCTGTTGGCCTTTGACCAGGTCAGTTTGAGACATACAGGAAACATAGGAAGATAAAGTTTCCTGGTTTGAATTAAAGTACAAAGTGTTAGTGTGGTTACATGGTAGGTGGTCCCAAATACTAATCTGGAACTAATTTATCAGTGCACAACTATGAATGCTTGGCCCTGTGCGCAGGCTACGTTTGTACCTATGGTGTAGCTTAGATGCAGAAGCAGGAATTGGGCTCTACACAAATGTAAGGATAGGAGTGGGTTGCCCATTCCAATACTTAGAGAGAACTTTGGTACCTGCTGATCTATTGAACTGAGAAGTTCTCGGACCATTGTAAGAGCCTGTGCCAGAGAAGAGGCTTCTTCCTCATCATCTGGAAAGAGAGACAAACAAAGTGGATTATTTTAAAATACAACAAAATAAAAGAGACATATACTCTTATTTGGCAATTTACAATTAACTAATTAACCGCCTATAAACAGATGAAAGGTTCTGCTCTTCGAATTTACCATTGCTTTTCACGTGGCTTTGCTTAGTCTCTTTTATATAGGTGGG